CCCGGAGGAGCTGGAGGAAGTGTCTGGAGAGAGGGAAGTCTTAGCATCTTTGCTTAGACTGCTGCCCCCGTGACCCGGTTTCGGATAAGCGAAGGAAAATGGATGGATGGATGGATGGATGTTGTGTAAATTCCATTCCCTATGTCAGATCTGCATCTTAATCCAAATCTTTTTTCTCCTCACCCCAGCGTGAGTGCATCTCCATCCACGTCGGACAGGCTGGTGTCCAGATTGGCAATGCCTGCTGGGAGCTTTACTGCCTGGAACATGGGATCCAGCCGGACGGACAGATGCCCAGTGACAAAGCCATCGGTGGAGGAGATGATTCCTTCAACACCTTCTTCAGTGAGACTGGAGCTGGAAAGCACGTTCCCAGAGCAGTTTTTGTGGACTTGGAGCCCACTGTCATTGGTAAACCCCTAGAAATATAAATTAACAGTTGCCTCATGACTTCATTTTGTCAAGCCCTTTAATCATATATGACCTAATCTGTCTTTTCAGATGAGGTGCGCACTGGGACCTATCGCCAGCTGTTCCACCCTGAGCAGCTAATCACTGGTAAGGAAGATGCTGCCAATAACTACGCCCGTGGACACTACACCATCGGCAAAGAGATCATTGATCTGGTGTTGGACAGGATCCGCAAATTGGTGGGTAATTATAATGGGGTGTTTGCTTTCAAATACCTCATTAAATGACATAACTCTATTTGCTGAGTGTGTCTCCCTCTCTGTCCTCAGGCCGACCAGTGCACTGGCCTTCAGGGCTTCCTGGTTTTCCACAGCTTTGGAGGTGGCACCGGCTCTGGTTTCACCTCCCTGCTGATGGAGCGTCTGTCTGTTGACTACGGCAAGAAGTCCAAGCTGGAGTTCTCCATCTACCCAGCTCCCCAGGTGTCCACCGCTGTGGTGGAGCCCTACAACTCCATCCTGACCACCCACACCACCCTAGAGCACTCTGACTGTGCATTCATGGTGGATAACGAGGCCATCTACGATATTTGCCGTAGGAACCTCGATATTGAGCGTCCTACCTACACCAACCTGAACAGGTTGATCAGTCAGATTGTGTCCTCCATCACCGCTTCCCTTCGTTTCGATGGCGCCCTCAACGTTGATCTGACAGAGTTCCAGACCAACTTGGTGCCATATCCCCGTATCCACTTCCCTCTGGCCACCTATGCCCCAGTCATCTCTGCTGAGAAGGCATACCATGAGCAGCTCTCAGTGGCTGAAATCACCAATGCTTGCTTTGAGCCTGCCAATCAGATGGTGAAATGTGACCCTCGCCATGGCAAGTACATGGCTTGCTGCCTGTTGTATCGTGGCGATGTGGTGCCCAAAGATGTCAATGCTGCCATTGCTACCATCAAGACCAAGCGCTCCATCCAGTTTGTGGACTGGTGCCCCACTGGTTTTAAGGTCGGCATCAACTACCAGCCGCCCACTGTAGTTCCTGGTGGAGACCTGGCCAAGGTCCAGAGGGCTGTGTGCATGCTGAGCAACACCACTGCTATTGCAGAGGCCTGGGCTCGGCTTGACCACAAGTTCGATTTGATGTACGCTAAGCGTGCCTTTGTTCACTGGTATGTGGGTGAGGGAATGGAGGAGGGAGAGTTCTCAGAGGCCAGGGAGGACATGGCTGCTCTGGAGAAGGATTATGAAGAGGTCGGAGTTGACTCTATTGAGGGAGAGGGAGAGGAGGAAGGAGAAGAGTATTAAAAGATATAAAGGAGCAATTAGTGAGGTCCTGGTTGAGTCCAGTGTGTTCTGAAATAGATTCCACACAAATGTTTGTCTGTTATTTACCGGCTTGACTATAAACATAACACTTTGACAAATAAGCTGTTTTCGACCATGACATTACTTCAAATCCTCATGTTTGAGCCAGAATATGAAAGTGTACAGCAAAACAGACTGCAACGGCATTAATTAATCTGAATGTCTCCTCCATAGGAAGGTGAACAGCGGTACATGTACTGATGAAAAGAGATGTGTGAAACAAAGCGGGTAATTGAGAAACCCCATATTCTAACTGGCATAATGCAGACATAGCAACTTCTCCAGCCTTACAACAATTCTCTCTAACGTTACAGAAAAAAGGCATTAACAGACCAACCTTCCTCTTGATGTGTTGCCAACCTGCAACACATCACGTGTGACAGACACACTGGCCTCAAGCAGTCAAAACAAGTTGTAGATTACACCTGGCCAGGTAAAACAGTGAGTCCCTGTACAGGAACATTCCCAGACATGCAGTAACCTCAGGCCCTGCATTTTGTCCACATCCTCTGGTCACAGTGCAGCAGCAGGAGGGAAAATAGATCCACCAAACCAGGCGCAGTCAAAAAAATTCCACTTTTACAGTGGCATCTGTGGAGGCCAGGCAAACTGACATGAAGACTTGTATCAACCAAATCACTTCCACACAGAACTATAACAACATATGTACACGTTTTTGGAGCTGTGAGTCATGTTTGAGATAATTTATTGTTGTAACATTGTAGATGTCAGAAAACACAGAAAAGCATGCCATGGGCTCTTTAAGAAATCATCCATTGTCTCTGTACAATATGTCCTGTTACAGGCTTGTGATTTCTATACTCGTTTAAATTTACTGTATGTTAAACCTAGTAGATGAAGGCCATAATAAATCTGGTGCAGTAAGTCATGGAATAAGTCATTAAAGGCAGTAACGTGAACTGGTCGACTTGGTAATGCTGATTGGGGGGGCTCTTTAATATTTGGGCCTAATGCATATTAAATATCTTTTTTAATATTAATCCTACAGTTTATATTTTACAAACAAGCAGTGTTATGTTTTAATTGTAGTATTTCTGAATTAAATCTAAATTGACTGCTTTACTCCCAGAGATACTGCAACAAGAACAACAACAGGGTTTTTAAAAAAACAATGATTCGCACAATTCACTCAAGGATCATTACAGATACTTTTATTCTGAAACAGCTGCAAAATATTTCTTACCTTCTTTATTTTGAAATAAACTTAACTTCGTATCTATAACTGAGCACATGATTGTGTGAACATGATCAGGTATTTAACTGTAGACTTAACAAGTCATTTACCAGTACACAGTAGGTATTAGGTAACAATCCAACACCAGTGAGCCATAACAGTGGCAGACATGGACATAAAGTGCAACCCACTGTAAGGAAAACAAAACAAAAAAAAAATCAGTTAATAATTATTTGGCTTCCAACCTTACACACACAAACATTTTAACTAGCTGAGTGCTGGCGGTTACATGTGTGTTACCTGTGAATATCTAAAACTTACCCTACACAGTAGAGTCGGATAAGTACCACTTTTCATTTAACTGTGAAGAATATCGGCATTGGTCTTCACCTTTATCAGTCCAAACTTTATATGCAGACCAATTTTCATCAAACACAAAGGTCAAACAACTGTGCAGGGTCTGGCCTAGAAAATATCTAAAAGTGCATTAGAGCTTCTAAAAGAAACCATGTAGCATTCCTGAGATCATTTAGCTATGAGGTGCTGTCAAAAACACTCATTGTAGTGGACAAAAGATACCAACAGCAGCCTCTATAATCTATGATGCAATGCACACACATTGCATTTTGCACAAGGGGCACTAGAAGCACTTGGGTTTAAGTCCTTAAGTTCATGCATGAATTACAACACTTGATAATTCATTACTGCTGGAATACACTGTCAGTCACACATAATGTATAACAATGTCAGAGCAGTGCGTTCGCTCTGCTACACAGCCACTAGATGTAAATGCTGACTTTAACCATTACAAATGGAGATGTCTGACTGGATAACAAAGCAGGGCTCTCAGTGTATCCCTATCTATGCAAACAGTATGCAGGCCTGATGCTGCTCTCGCCCATACAAGAGGAAGCCCACAGCAGTGCGCAGGTCCTCCAGGTCCAGGTTAGACAGGAAGCTCCTCTGAACCTCTGCGTCCACTCTGTTCCCACTGGGTCTGCTACAGCCCTTCAGTAGAACCACAGCAGACTGGCACAGCAGCCAGTCGGCTAGCTTCTTTATGCCAGCGCTGTCGCCTTTCGTCCCCACAGGCTGAGATGTAGCATGTTAGCAGCTACACGAGCACTGGGGCGCTGCAGAGTACACAAAACATGAATAACTGTTGTAGTATCAGATGCTTGGTGTATATTACTATTACCACACTACTGCAATTAAGAGCAGCGCTGTCATTGTACTGTTTTTTTTTTTTTTTTTTTTTTACTGTAAAGTCACTGATTATATCCATATATGACAGAAAGAGAGAGAAACAACTCTAAAGTCATATCTTGCACTAATCATGTACAAAATTACCAGAAACTATTGTTGAGCAGTATATATTTATAGTGCCAGGACTATCTTCTACATCTGTGTCCTTTGCCATTCGTTTTGTGATTCATGTGGCTGCTGTAGTGCTACAAGTTTTCACTAGGTTTAATAAAGTATTACCCATCTTATCAAACAAACAATAATAATAATAATAATCACCACCTTTATTGGCCAAGTATGTTACACACAAGGAATTTGTTTCCGGTACAGAACCGAGGCAGCCATCTGCGGCGCCAACTCAACCGATGGCTCTAACCATCGGGGGCAACTTAGGGGTTCAGTGTCTTGCCCAAAGACACTTCGACATGTGGACTGCAGACACCATGATTCGAACCTCTGACCCTCCGGTTGGGAGACGACTGCTCTACCCACTGAACCACAGTCACCCCAACATTAATACTAATTAATGTTGCTTCATTTCTGCTGGATGTGTAAACAGGCAACTGTCTACTAACACACTGACCATAATCAATTTTACAAGGAGAAAATAGTGCAGATCAAGGTTCTATGCACTGCCCCCAAGTGGCCAAAAAGTTATTGCAATTAATATTAATAACAAGTCTGGTCCAACGTCTTACAAGAAAAAGGTAAATGCAAATCCTTCACTACCCCTGCAGTACCTTGTTTGGGTTCCTCCTGAGGAGAAATCGGATCACTAACTGCACATCAGCTGGAACACTGGAAGGCAGAGGAGGAAGCTGCTTCTCCCAGTACTTCCTGCTCTCTAGTCCCACTGCTCTATAGAACGGGTTATTCTGTCCGAATATCTCATACGAGATGGCACCCACAGCCCAGGCGTCTGCCTTGCTGTAGTCAATCACCACACCACATCCTGGAACTGCAGTGGCCACCTTTAGGCAGAAACATCATTAAAAAAAACACATACAAATGATCTTGTAGAGGTGTCAGACTTTTTCTTGTGTGAATCAGATTTTTTTGCAGCATGACGGTACACAGGGAGGGAGATCCTTGAAGGTTGTGTTGATTGTGGTTATGTGACAAATGATAAATGGTCTTATACTTGTATAGCACTTTTCTATGCTATTATCCTAACTTTCTGGTTAGGAGAGGACCCGCTCTACTGTATCCCTGTGTGAATCTCTGTATTGGCCTTCTTTTACTGTCTACCCTGATAATCCTCTGCTTTTTTGTTAACAATGGAAGTTTAAATTGTACAGGGGCCAGTAAGAGACTGGACATTTTCTTTCTACTTGTAATAACAATGAAAAACATCTTAAGCTTACCTCAGGTGCCATAAGGGAGGAATTCCCTCCTCTGTTTACCCACTGGCTGTAGAAGGGCAGCTGTAGACTGGAGTCTCTCTGGGCCAGACAGCAGCCAAAGTCAGTAATCACTAAACGAGGGCAACCATCTGCATAAAAGCAAAATCAACTAAAATTTGAACGTATTTTATTTTCAATTTTAACTGATGCAATCAAATATCAAACAGTTATCTGAATTTTTCTCTTGCTGACTTAACATTTTCTGACCTGAGTCAAACTCCAACAACACGTTGTCTGATTTGAGATCCCTGTGAGCCACACCCTGTCTGTAAAGATGGTCGACCCCCTCGAGGAGCTGCAGCACCATCAGAGAGGCCTGCCTGTGGTCTGGCGTGGACACTTCAAGGTACTGTCGCAGCGTAAATGGATAGCTATGGCACAGAAGAAGATGACCTGCTAGTGCTGTATGGGTAAGTATAGCTCCTGACTGAGAATGGCCTGAGAGAAGCAGTGCAAAAACTTATCTAGATGTCTTTAGTTTGCTTGTATAAAACTCTAAATGAAGGTGGTGGCATTTGTTTGCAAAGCATTCTAATTCTCATCCTGCATGAGATTTGACCATGAGGATAGCTGGTCTTACTTCTTCATGACCAGGAAAAGAGTACGATTGTTGCCCAGACCAGCAGGGTTAAGCCTGGCTGGCAGCACAGCTGGATACTCTTCTTGGGCACCTGGGAGCAATGGGACGTCTGCTGTGAAAGCCCGGCACACGCTGATCACATTAGGGTGCACTGACAGTCTTTTGGGCAGGACTCCAAACTGTCTGCATGTGAAGAGACCACAACTATTCATGAGTATCTTTCTACAGCCTTGTCAGTACTGTAGCACTAGTTAGGAACAATAAATTCAGTGAAGGTGTATTACTTACCCATCCAGGGTAACTTGTTCTTTTTCCTGCTTTAAGGCCAATGGGCCTGCTGGCACCAGCTCCTGTGACATGGATGTTAATATGTCCTCACTTGATGAACCTGCCTGCAAACAAATGGCATCAAAAAAGTCAGTGTGGCTGCTATTTGTTTTCCTACCTAAAAGTGTGGGAAATCAAACATGTTGTCGAATACCCACCCCAAAGTTCCACATCATCTTGATGGCCAGAGGGAAGTTTTTTAGCGAGCAGCATGTCAGAGATCGTGGAGTCTCTCCATCCTCTTCGTGTTCTCTCAGCTCCACCACAGAACACTTCCTGTCACTCTCCTTTGGAGCGGCAAACTGGGCTGCAGCCTCATACACAGCTGCATTAGAGCCTTTCCCAATTTGGTTCCCAATAACATAATCCTCCAGTTTATATCCAGAGGTGAATGGCTTGAGTGGGCTTCGGAATTTTTTCTTCCTGAACAGAGCCTGCAGAAATATTTATGATGATGCAGAAAGGTAGCCGTATGCATATTCCATACTTTATTTAGGCCAGGTGAAGGATAAGTTCAGTCAGGAAAAAAATTAAGAGTAGATTAAAGCTCCTAAAACCTTTTTGACCAAAAAAATAAAATAAAAAAAATAAATTGAGTTTTTGTTTTTATTCTTCCCAAAGACCCAGAAAAAGCAAAACATATCCTTTCTTAAATCCAGTAAAGTTCTGAAAGCATTAAACCAGAAATATACACCATTTTTGCAAGCTTAAGCACATGAAGTGGCAATGGCTACAAAGACATTATCGATATTAGCAGTAAGAAGGAAACGGGATCAGTGCAAGATTGGTGGATAACTTTTATTATCAGCAAAGTTTATGGTGGTTCTACAAAATGGTAGTGGACAACATACCGAAATACTTAAGTAAAAGTAGTTAGCCTGTATCACAGTCAGAGTAAAAACAGCATTGGAAGAAGTGCTCAGATTGTTTACTTAAGTAAAAGTAGCAACACCACAGTGTAAAACTACTCTGTTACAAGTAAAAGTCCTGCATTCAAAAAGTTACTTAAGTACAAAAGCATTACAATAAAATATACTTTAAGTAACAAAAGTAAAAATAGTCATTTGGCAAAATGGGGCAGTTTACATTGATGTGCATCATATTATTCAATTATAATAACCGATGTTTTATTGTGTAAATCACATTTAATGCTGAAGCTGGTAAAGGTACTACTAATTTTAACTATCTTATATACTTATAATTTGAATTACTGCTGGGTAGCTTGTGAATTTTACACCAAGGATCAATAAATCTCGCAATTATACTGTATTTAGTTTTATTAACCACTGCAGTGAGTACAAATTGCAACATTTTTCTCTGAAATGTGAAGTTGAAGTATGAAGAAGCAGAAAATTAAAATACTCAAGAACAGATACCTCAAAATTGTATTTAAGTACAGTACTTGAGTAAATGTATTTACTTCCCACCTATGTAAAAAAAACCTAATAATAAGAAAATGCCTAACACTAAATAGTGCACAAGTAAAGAAAGATAAGTACTGACAATATATTTGTCTAAATATGGAGAAACTGATGTCACTATATATTATTATATATTACGTGAGTGAATTATTATGAATAATGTTTTAACATGCACTAGTATTTGGTCAATGTCGAGTTACCTTTGACTCTGTTCTTGGCAAAATTAACCTAAACCAAATATGTATTACGAATATTATATATCGTTCTATATTTTATTATTGACAATTATGTTTTGTATCTGCAAACACAACAAGTAACTAAAGAAATAAAAGTGAATCAGACCTGCACTGAAGGGCACTAACGTTACTTAGCTCAGGGTTTCTCTGTTTACCAACCTGGATCTCCTGACAGGTCGCCGAGCTCTTTCTGTCGTCCTCAAGCTGCTGTTCGATGAGCCCCGCGCCGAGACCGAAAGCCAAAAACACGGCCCTGTTTCGCGGGGACGCGCCGGTAAACCTCCTCCTGAAACCGGCGGACTGAAGCTGAGCTGATAGGCCCTTCAGAAAGGTGCGATAATACCGGTACCGAGACGGCAGGAAAGCCTGAGGCTGAACGGTGCGGACCGACGGGCCTACCCGGAAACGGTCAGCTCGGAGCTTTGCTGCGACTCGGGCACCCGATTTGAGGAGACCCAGCTGAAGGACCGACCGGCCTAACTCCAGTCCCCGGATAATGGCGTGTTTCACAGACATAATTTAACCGGAGAGATAAGACCAGCTGTTTTATAAGTCCGTAATTTCAGCCAGTGCCCAGCTGTCATCAGGGTGCAAGGTCACTTGTATAAAAACAAAACAATGCTACTGAGCATGCGCAAGAATTCCCTAAACAATCCCTCCTGTTTTCTATTTGGCTGCCGTAAAGTAAGACGACATGTAGGTGGCGGTAATGCGCCTTAAATTGGCTTGCAAACGGACAATAAACATCAGAAGAAGAAGAAAAAGAAGGACAAGGAGAAGAAGAAGATATAGATATAGACATAGATTTAGATATAGATTTAGATATAGATAAGGATAAGGATAATCACCTTTATTGGCCAAGTATGTTACACACAAGGAATTTGTTTCTGGTACAAAACTGAATAGATATAGATATGGATATGTAACAGCGAATGCTATACATTTAACACACTTAACATGGTCTGTAATTAAATTCTGAGTGCATTTGTATTTGAGCACATCTGTCTAATAGCTCTCAAATAAATCATAGTAAATGAGAATAACTATAACCCAGTTGACTCTACAGAAACTGCTTCAAGTCTAACTCGTCATTTAACCCTCCTGGGTCTAAAGTGTTTTTTCTCTCTCTCTCTTCCCTCTTGACAAGCCCCCTCCTCTCTCTTACAAATATAGCTGACCCCAAATCCAATTAAACAAAGTATCAAATAGTTCTTGCTGAGCTGTAGATAATTATTGTATGACATTTTATAGATAAAAGAATTGAATAATTAATCAAGAAAATAATCAGTATTGACACTAATTGCGAGTTGAAGCCCTAAGGTAAATGTCATTTGTCTTCCTGAGCTCAGAAAGCAGAACAGTCTCGACATACTGCTAATGTGAACATTTATAAAAATCTCACTAAAGGAGCGTTTGGGTGTTGGGTAGGTTCTGGGATAGACATTAGAGCTTTTAACAACTTACATTTCCAGATACTTGTTCCATCATTCTTCTGTATATCACCAACACCTCATCTGTCAATGTTCAGTAGTCAAAGTATGTTGATCTACTTGTCTTATTAACATGTTTTTTAGACAGAAGCAGTTGATTCCATTTGTGAGAATCAAATTTATTGGCTTTTTAAACTCTTCTAAAGCCAAGGCAAGAGACAGTTTTAAGCATATACAGACAACCATTATCATAAGAGGCAGACCTCCTCTTTATTGTGCATGTGAATAGGTAATCCATTCATTCAGTGCTTGTGGTAATATCAGGAAAGTTTCACTAGTGGGTGATGTCCTTAAAGATGGATCAATCAATAATTTTATAATTACAAGGGATTAAATGCTAGTGCTCCAAGTGGGAGAAAGAGGTGTTTTGTTTCATTGTTTATTGTTTTATGATTAGAATTTATATAACAAAACTGATTATGATTATTGGCGACCACCCAAACATGAACTTCTTTTGCTTCTGGGGGAGCTCAAGTCTCTTTTGGTGGAGCTAACCTGCCCATACTCCCACACTGTAGCTGGCAGAAATGTCCTAATCTGAAGCTCCCCTGCTGCCAACTGCTCATATCTGCTGTTCATCTTAAGCAAGCCCATGGAGAGGGCAGAAAATGGTACCGGCAGCCTGTGAGAAGTGCTGGTATATAAGAAAAAGTCCAGGTACACCAAAGAGTAAAATGTAGAAGTGGCAGTACTGCACATCAGTGCATACCCATCCACTTAAAGTACTGATTAAATAACACAATATAATGTGAACTGTGTCGCTCAAAGTGACAAGCCCAGTTTATGTTGCTGACAGGAAGTGTAGTGTCGGGTAATAATTCTCTGTGGGTTTGTCACTTTGAGTTATCACTTTCACTGAAAAATGTATTGATAAATATGTGTAGGTGATAATTTAATGTAATTACCAGTTTAATGCAGCAAACTACTACTACTAATAATACTGATGATCTAGAAATGACAGGTAACATGAATAAATCGAGATCATCTAGGCCTGTGGCGACCAGTTATGGCGTGTCATTGTTAATAATCCAGTTGATCCACTGGACAAAGTTCCTCACTTTGGTGTAGACCCCAGGGAAGTATGGATTTGCACAGCTGATACCCCATGAAACAATTCCCTCGAAGTAGCCATTGCAAATAAGCGGACCACCAGAGTCACCCTGTGGATTACCAAGACAAATTAGATATGATGAACAAATACTTTGGTGTGGGTTGTAATTGTTCAAGTCATATTATGGATGGAAATCATATTATGTCATCATGTGAGAGTCTCTAACTCCGAGTCATTCTTCTGAGCACAGTTACACTCTCTGCATAAATCTGAATATTAATTAAAGCTACACTATGTAACTTTAGGTAGTGCTAGCGTGATGCTCCAAATCAACCCACTCTGCTCCACCCAACGCTCCCTCTCCCTGCTCCACTATGCTCCATTACAATCTGCTACACTCTGCCCAGCTCTTCAGATATTTGTCATTATGAAATTACAATAAATGAGAATGCAACAAAATTTACTGATCAAGTGGAAATAATTGAAAATCTCTGACTGGTTAGAGAGGTCAGTCCTGCTCATATCGTCACTGTGAGCATGTTAGCATGGCGATACTGTATGTAACATTAAACTCAAAGAACCACTGCTCCTATAAGTTCAGCCTCAGAGAGCTGCTAACATGGCTATAGGCTCTTGTTCAGATTCAGACATAACGTAGTCACTCCATTAAAAATGACTGAAACAGTACGTATGCATGCTCTGCAAAGTGGAACAGGGGCTATTAATGTTATTATGCACTACAAGTCATCGTTTTGCTTGTAAGAGAGTAATAAAAACATATAACCCAGAAGTTTATAATACAACACACAGAGCAATAAAAAGGGAAATATTTCTGTTAAAAGTAGCATGTACAATACTGTAAGAGACAACATTATGCTACATCATTATGTACTAAATAAAGTAAGCAACACATGCATAAAAAGAAACAAAAAAAACCCAACATACAGTACCTGGCAGGAATCTTTGCCACCCATTGGTGACCCAGCACACACCATGTTTGGGGTGATCCTGCCCCAGTAGAAATACGAGCAGTAAGGCTGTATTCTCACATCCACAGCACGTAAGACAGGGGAGAGGTAGAAGCTGTAAATCTGTGTCACCCCCCAGCCGCTCACTGTGCAGACATCATCAATAAGTGGAGGAGTGTTTTCATCAGGCAGATCAGCTGGCTGGACATTGGCATTCAGCAGTGCTGAGTCACTCAGCTGTAACCCAAACCAAAGGTAAGACACCACAGGTGTGAGACGCCAACCAAGCAGTCACACATCACCCATCAAATGAGACACAAGGGGCCTCAGGGGCCCTGGAGAAAAAGTTTGTTGTTGGGCCTATAAATTAAAAATCGATTAGTCAAATGGGAAAAAAATAACTGGCAATAATTTCGATCACTTATTAATTATTTAAGTTATTACTCAAATTAAGACTATCCTTCTACAAGGCTGGAGTCACAAGATGGAGGATGGAATACCTGACATACGTAGGTGATGAATTTCTAACAAATTTTAAATTAAACTAATTATGAGGACTCAAATGATATGGAGTGACCCTCTGCAGGTCCAAGGATCCAGTTACCCACTTTGTTTTTTAAATAGTATTATTTCTTTCTGTTACACTTCTGCTTACCTTAATGAGCATGATGTCATTGTTGAATGTCTTGTAGTTAAAGTTGTGGACATATATCTTTGAGACATTGAAAACCTGCTCAAATCCCTCTGTTATGGTCAGGCTGTGTTCACTTAACACCACCCTCATCAGAGTGCTCCTGAGGGCCAAAACCACACATACTGTAAAGTGCTTCAGAATTGACCCACAAAAAGTAAAATGCTGAAAATTACAATTTCACATGTTTGCTGTTAAAAACAATTCTGTCCTCATTATAGGTTAACATAGTGGAATATTATAACACTTTAACTCCTCTCAAAACTTCAGTGATAGTGTGAAACTGGTCATGTCTAGTGTCAGTACTTACGGCCTCCAGCAGTGGGCAGCAGACACCACCCACTGTGAGTGCACTAAGGTCCCACCACAGTAATGTTGCCCAGTTTCAGTCTGCAGGGATGCCTGATATTTGATGGAGTACGGCACAACCTCCTGACCCCCAATGATCCTCGATGCCTCTATGGACAGCCAGAGTAGGCAGTAGTTAAACCTTCTTGTGGTTGATAACAATTTTGATTTACAAAAAGTGTGCTGTGGTCTACTCGACAAAAAGTGGAAACATTTGTTTGAACCAGTAACACATTTACTTGAAATAGCTCCAGCATGGCTATGGCTTTATGATGCAATAGTCTTAAACCACTACAAATGCGAGGGTGACGTCTTAGGTCACATCATGCGGGGTTTACTCCTAATATCCTTATTTCAACAGTTGTTCTATCAAAAGCCCTTAGTTTCAATATCTTGTCAGCAATCTATACAGTCTAGTGGGTCATGCCTCTTAGGAATTAAAATTTTAAAGACTGAGGAACTTACTTGTAACTGAGAAAGTCAAAAGTAACACCATAACGGGCCCTCGCAGTCGACTCATATTTTTGGCTTAACACCTGAAATGCAAAAACATGACTTTTGCCAGCATTTATGTACTGTATGGGCTAATTAATTTCAGGTGGGCCTGACAAATTCTGATTGTCTTTGTGTGAAATAAAAGAAAATAAATACATTATCTATAATGCTTTTTTAAATTTGACCATTTATATATTGGCTACCCGTGTGGTTTTAAACATGTTAAGTGCATTAAATGTCTATTCAACTCTAAGAACTGGTCAAGATGCTAGATAAAATGTTTTCTTAATGAAAAACATTCACAGTCTTATTGTATTAGCAACTTAAATGTTACAGCAATGACTAAAATCTAAATGTACTGACTGGTACTGGTCTACTAATGAACTTTAATTTACTTCTTCAAAACATTAGGGGCTTCCTTAAAAGTTTGATTCATCATCATACTTTATTGTACTCATTGCTTTATTTTGAAAATTCTACACTAAATTACTACAATTTTAGTATATATTATACAAAACATTTGTGTAACAAAGTAGTTTTTATTTTTATTTAAGACACTATCATTACTCAGAAATCTGGACAGACCCTCCTTTATTGATTATTAAATCTGATTGAACAGGGTTAGAATCACCTTCTACTTACCTGTTAAGTCCAAACACAGCAAGCCTTTTCAATCTCCAACTGGTGTGGTCAGTGCTCTCCTTTTGCCTTTTATAATGTAACTGAATCTTCAAATCTTTTGTTGAAATTACCTTTTCGTCTGGTTCTTTCCTGCAACCATCTCACGCCACAACATAGAAACTGACCTACTACATAACAAAGCTCTTGTATTATTATATCCTAGCTCTAGTTCTCCAATTGCACCTTGGGATATGAACGTATTTAGGATGGGGATACATCTAAGTGGTTACCATTATCTCCATGTTACAAAATAAATGCTTACAGCTTTGCTGATGTGATGAAATTTTTTAAGAATAATTTGTCATGAGGTTATTTTCTTTGGGGAATAACATAAAAGAAGTCACACCGATAATGAGCATTATTCCGCCTTGTGACTGGCTATGAAAACAACAGTGTGCAAATATTAAAAACCTTCTTGGAAGCTTCTAAGCTAATAACACATCATTGGAATCTCCTTTGAGTAGCTGAACAAATTTGTAGCTGAAGACCTTGTTCCGAGGAGGAATTGTATAGTTTTGATCAGGAAGCCTTTGCTGAGTCACTTGATGATAGCGATACTGGTACTGATAAGACCTGGGTGCCATCTCAGAGACTGTAAACCAAGATTGTCTCCGGATCTGCACTATATGGTTCCTTTCCACTGAAATATTTTGTCACAGAGTCATGAATTAATTATTTTTAATCAGGCCGTTTTTTTCCCCTAATGTCAGAAATCAAAAACAACACTTGTAATCCTCAAGTACATTGTAAAGCATTCATGAAACAAGTCAACACTGACTAATGGTGTTTGTCAAGTGTTTAAGCAGTTAATGAATGATTAATAGCAAAGAATAAAATGGGTGTAATTATATTTACTCTATCTATAATCTATAATTAAGGTTCAGTGTTTACTTATTTGTCACATACATATTACATACACATGATGTAATGTAGTGAAATGTTTTCCTTAGTTCCTCATCAGATGTGCAACAGAACTGAACCAACAACAACAGAAAACAATGAAGAACAAACTAAGGACATACTTATACACACACACTAAAAATAGAATATAATAAATATCATAACCTTTAGTAAGATAGACTTTTCAGCCTTGGGCCAGACAGATGAATATGAGAACAGGGACTTGGCAGCCATGTGTAATAATGACGACACTTGGACTGAGAAGTGGGTCATGTAGAAAAAAGGCAGCGGTCAACACTCAGGCAATGAAAGAGGTTCAAAGAGCCTGACTACAGCTACCGACAGGGAGGACAACAGTGAAGGCTGTTAGCCAGGTGAGGTCAGGAACTCCACAGAAGGATGTAGCAGTGATAAGACCTGTCTGAGCTTTGCTCTATTTTTAATGACACCTGGCCCAGCAGTGCTGGGTCTGATACAAAAGCTGCTGCTGCTGCTTGTCATCAGCCAAACCCCTCATCAATACTTCCTGGGAAAATTAATGATGGGAGGCTATATAATGATGAAGCTCTGCAGAGACCCTTAGTCAAAGGAGATGACAGCAGCATGTTTAATCACAAGCTGAAATATGTCAGTACTGGACATAGGTGACAGAGATGCTTCACTTACATGATAAAACTCTACAGGAGGCCCTGACGTAAAGGTTCATGACAAGACAATAAACTCTATATCTTTCACCTTTTATGTGACAGTAAACTGGGTGATTATATAAAAAAATGGACAAACATTAGACAGCTTGATGGAAGAGGTGAGACAGGGACCTGTGCTGTGGAAGCTTCAATTACTTTATATATATCAGCCCAGAACAGGGAGGTGACCATGGAAACAGAAATAAGAACTATAAGAAACCCGAGAGTGCAGGTGCGATGCCTTCCCGTTAGGATTAGACAAGTCCCACAAAGGTGAATCCTCTGTCTGCATATAGACTGCTCTTGCCCTTATCTCACTATGAACCTGCCATTTTTTATGCTTTGTATACTGTTTGAAGTTCTGGCTGTAAATTGTAAGTAAGCTTCTTTATCTTGAATTTGGGTTTATTTATGTATATATGAAAAAGCTTTAATTGAAATGAAACCTTTACAGTAGGTTACAATGACAAGAAAGTTTATTGTATGACATCCTGAAAAACAATATTTTATCAAACGAGGTGCAGAATTGACATGTTTTATGCTTTATTAGTATTCCCTTTATGAATTTTATAAACATCCTCTTTAACAGAAAAACTTTCAATTCTGATGTTGCATTGAGATGGTGCTTTGCTATTTTCATTTGGTTATGACTAAATATCTTACAGCATTAAAATCATAAGCTGCACTAGTAGAGTAATGGAGAAAGAGGAATATGGGCATACATTTGACTGGAGTCAAAAAGATGAGGATGTTTTAGGTGTAGAATGGATGGAGGCTGATTTTATCTATGATATTTGTAAGATCTAGTTTGACTTGCAATGTGAAATATTTAGTAGTGAAACCAGTTGGTTTTCATTTTAAAGTTTCATTTTAAATTTTAGTATAATCAGTGACATTTTGAAAATGCACTTTGTTACAAGGTACAGCAAAGATATCTTGCTGAGATAAAGAGCTTTTGAAATGAAAAGGTCAGTAAAAGTGTGCCTATTCATGAAAGGAATGTGAAACCTCAGGAACAACAACAGATGAAAGGTTGCAATAAAAATAGTAACAATGGCTGACACCTCATTTGTGCTTGGCAATTATGTCGCATGGATAAAACATGAAAAGGGACGCTGATACACATCTCAAACAGCTCTAGGTTTTGAGACTAAACAATATCACACGCTGAACACCTTTTTACCTCTTTCTGCAGTGCCATATTTTAGTTTATTTGGAAAGTATGCTCTTGACACACACCACTGCTGCTAATTATAGGAGAGCAATGAGAAAGAAAAAATGACATTTCGGTGGCTGAACTGGCTTTCAGCCACCGTGAGGCTCTATTTTCCTGCCAGCACAACTTCTGCATCACCTCAGTCATAGTCATCGTGCAGTTTTCCTCAGGCGCATGTCACTTTTTTGTTCATTAGTGTTTTTGGTATTTTCCTGCCATTAATGAATGTTCTTATGCTGAGGTGGGAGAAGAGGGTTGTTGCTCCTATCTTCTTCTATTGTCTTGTTTCTTGTTTCGTAGTCTCAAACAACGCTGGGCAAGTCACTTGAACTCATTAGAAGTTACGCATTACAAATCTGTCATCAAAAAAGTAATTCATTACCTTACTAATTACTCAGCAGTTTTTATTTTTTATTTTTATTTAACCTTTATTTCTTTATTTAGTCCAGCTGTGTCAAAGAAGCCTTCAAATAACTCAATTAAAGATGAAAACAATAATAAAACACCCACACATGTAAAAACTGACAGCAAGACATTGTGATCTAGCAAGCAGACAGCCTGCAATTTGGATGAATTGACAATGCAGCGGTTAATATTAGCTTAGCCTTGGTGAACTCCTGACCTACTGCGTGGTTCACAGAGCCTCCAAATTTAAATAAAATTAGGTGACTCCTGCATGTATGGGTGCCCATAATTAACGTTAGCAAACCAGCTAAGAACACACAACATGTGAATACGACAACTTTGGAGTGAGCATTACATTTTTACTCTTTCAATAGAGGCTAAACACCTCAGGCTCCAAACAGCTGTTTTAAAGGTGATTACATGACCATGTTTTCTAAAATTGTTTCTGCTACCCTCAAGTGGTTAAAAAAAAACAATCCTGCAACTATAAGTCTGAGCAAAAGGAGTAATACTGCCATACTGAAAAGGAAGCACATGACGAATCAAAAGTACAAAAAAAAACTTATAATAATAACTTATAAACAAAAACTATAGCGTGTTGCCATATTATAGTATAGTATATTATTGAATTATTGTAATCACACATTAATGTGTACATAGCGTTTTACTGATATAGTTGGTCAAAGTGAATGTAATTTTAATAATTTTATATCCTTTAATTTTAACATTAATCATATTTTATATGTAGAAATACAGAGTGCTAACATCAGACAGATAATTTTGGTCAGACTCGTCCTCACTGTGAATCAACACGCTCCGGAGATGAGACTGTCAGAAGCGTCTGTGCAGCACAGACCTCTGTTGTTTCCTTTATGACTTTGTTCTCGCTGACACTGCAACTGCGGTAATAAAATTACACCTGTGTTCACTCTTTGTGGTTTGCACAAAAAACTACTTATGGACTGACTATGTGTTTTCAATCCAATTCAAGCGCATATCTCCTTCTGTGTGTACCACAGGTCTAGACAATGCACAGGAACGCATAGTGGGAGGATACGCACCAGTCCCACATTCAATCAAGTACATTGTGTCGATTCAGACACTAGACCGCCAGCACTTCTGCGGGGGCTCCTTGATAAATAAGTATTGGGTGATCACAGCAGCACACTGTGACCGAGGGTGAGTTGAGTTTTCTTCTCATGACTAGAAAAGTTGCATAACCTCAGGGAGAAACACAAACTTACTACAACAGTAAAATATACTTCAGCTCAGAGTAAACTGTTCACCTTTGTGTCCTGATTTGACACACAGTGACACAACCTGTATGTTATTGTTATTCATTCATTCATTTTCTACTGCTTAGTCCCTGAACGAGGTCACGTTGTTATTCATGATATTGTTATATTTTTTAAGTTACCTGCTTTTTGTGTTCTGAAACTGAAAAGTTTATTTCCATATCATTGAGACTGACCTGACTGGGTTTTTTACCCAACCAGCAAGTAATCAAGACATCCAAAAACTGGTTAGACACTGAGATCTCATCAGTTGTTGGTTTTTAAACCACAACTTGCTACTAAACTACATTTGAACATGTAATATATAAACAAATGGTAAGAGCCAAGCTGAGTGTGATCTGCTTTGTATGTGTCGCTTAGCTTGCCATGTGTATTTGTTCTGGACATGATTGTGTATCAGGTATCATACAACATAAGTTGATCGGCCGGTGGCTGTGGCTTAATATCTAACACAGAGAGTGATGTTACTGTTTTTGTCCTGACAAGAAAGCCCATCCAGCTTATCCTGAAGAGGGTCATGGGGGGTCTGTAGCCTATCTCGGCTGACACTGGGCGAGAGGCGGGGTCCACCCTGGACAGGTTACTAGTCTATCACAGGGCTGACACTTAGATGGCAAGAAAGTGAAATTCCCAAAATGTGTCAAGCTATTCCTATAATATTAAAGCAAACAATTTGAAAGGCAGAATCTTTGTATTACAGCATGGCGCTTTTAATTTGCTTTTTATCTCTGCAGCATAAACAAAATGTTGATAGTAGTAGGAGACTACTCTCTGACCATCTATGAGGGCACAGAACAAGAAATCATGCCCCAGCTTTTGTTGCCCCACCCCGAGTACAACAGCACCACCAACAACGATGACATTATGCTCATAAAGGTATGGAAAGCAAACTGCTGCTTTTCTCTTGTATTTTTTAGAAGCTGTTTCTCCATCTGTGTCTGTATAAGCTTGACTCACCCTCAGCAGGTCTGCTTGCTGATCGCGCTGTCCACCTTCTCTCCAGCTGAGGGCTCCGGTCTACCTGAACAGCTATGTTTCCATTGCCCTGCTACCCAGGCACGGCGCCTCCATAGTGCAGGGCACAGTGTGCCGAGTGTCAGGCTGGGGATACACCAGCCCCACTGGAAGCCAGATCCCTTCCACCCTCCGTACTGTCAAGCTCCCCATTGTCTCCACAGAAAAATGCAACAGCAGTGAGTCCTATCACGGTGAAATCACAGAGAACATGCTGTGTGCTGGTTACAGTACTGGTGGAAAGGATTCCTGCCAGGTAAGTGGAACTCGTAACTTTGTTTTATAAAGGTTTTTACATTGGAACATAATATTTCCAGAGACAGTCTGAACAAAAAGAAAGCATAACCCATAGTCTGACTTTAATTATATCAATATATACATTAGTAAGTCACACATGTAGTCATGCTTCTGTTGCCTTTTGCAGTTCTGAATTAATGGCAGGAAGTGTCTAAATCAGCTGGGCAAGGTCGTTTTTAGAAAATGTGATTCAAACAAGAGTAAAGAGTGTATTTTTAGGGATTATTTTCAGGAGCACCACATTAGATTTGATGTTGGTCTTTTCAGACAATTTGTTGACAACAAGAAAATATAGACAGGCCTATTCAGCAAAGCATGACTCCAGAAAGTCTGGTATAATGTTACGTCACCCCTTGAAGGTTGTTTTCTGCTGTTCTAGGGGGACTCTGGGGGTCCGCTGGTTTGTGAAGGCCGTGTCTACGGCGTGGTGTCCTGGGGCAGAGGTTGTGCTGAAGCCCAGTTTCCTGGAGTCTACACTGCTGTCTCTAAGTACCGCAGTTGGATAGATAACACCATATTTAGCTTCTACAGAGGGTGTAACAAAGGTTAGAACCCAGTGTTAACGAGAATAAGAGTAAACACTTGAGAAATAAGGTTTTTTATTTCATTTTAGCCTGTTTTGAGTTAAAATGTATGTTAGTTTTATTATTTGCCTACACTTTATTATGTTATATGCTAAAGGAATAGTTCAGCATTTAGTTCACTCATTTCCTTTTTTTGAGGGATAAATGAGACCATTAATACAGCTGGCAGCTGGTTAGCTTAGGTTAGCTTAGCATAAAAACATATGAAAACCATAGACTGTATATAAAAATGGACAGTGTGTGATCACACTTGAAACATTTTGCAGACAGATTGGAGCCATGATATCAGGCCTCCAGTCAAAACAGTCAAATCATTCAAGCAAGTCCCCCTTTTATATATGATCAAATAACTTATTAAAACATATTTATCATGAAAATGACCTCTTGCACACAAATCAGTGTGATAATATCTATATAACTGTTTACTTTGGCTCTAACCTGCTAACATGGAGGGGGCGGGGTTTATGACCTATAATGCAACCAGCCACCAGGGGTGATCGACCTGTGGTGGCTTCACTTCTGGGAAACTGTCATGTCATCCAACTTTCTATATCGTCTGATGGAAACAACTAGCCAGGTTCTGCCAAAAGGCAAAAATCTGCTATATTAACACAATACAACCTGTTTGTTTAATATGTAAAATAACAAGTTGTAGTTTTATGGAGTTATGTGTTGGTCTGTCCATGTTCATAGTGAGAGGATGGACATGAGAGTGGAATCAATCTTTTCATCTCACTCTTGGTGAGAAAGTGAATAAGCACATTTTCCAAAATGTTAAACTATTTCTTAAAGTTTTCCAGCTTTAATGTTTACCATGTCTGTTGTTGATTTATTTTAAGCATTTCAAATCAAAAAACAAAACAAAAAAACTTTTCATTTGTGAGGTTTTTACTTTTGTTTGGCTGAAGCAGAGATTATTAGAACATTAATTGACTTAATCAATTTTCAAGTTAAATTAGCAAACATTCAATGATACTGGCTTCTCAAATACAGCAGACGTGCTGACCACTATTATAACCTGAGGATCTCTGGGCTGCACACTGTTAGACAGAAAAGCTTATTATCTTGGGCTCTAGGAAAATGTGGTGGGGATTTCTGAAATAACTGTTAATTGATTAACTAACAAAATGATCAAGATTTATATTGAAAATGGAAATAATAGTTTCTTTTAGCTCAGAAAATGTTGGATTCAGCTGTAGGGTAGGCATTCGTTGTTTGCTGGTTTGTTCTGGACTTGTAAAAAGAAATTCAGGCTTTTGACCAACTCCAATAATATTGAATACAGGTGTAAATAATGTGTGATTGATAAGGCTGTCCTTAGTTCTCAGAATAAAGTTGAATTATTATGATTACTGCCAATTACATGTGCTTTATATATGGACTACTAGTGTTATAAACCTGCCACTATGCATAGAGCACCTTTAAGTGTGAGAACTCAATAAATGGATTAAAAAATTAAAATGGTGCTATAAAAGTGATTTAAATTGGAGTTTTGTCTTGTTTTCTATGCTTTGATAATTACCATCATCCCATATTGTTGGTTTCCACCTAAGTTGTCTGGACAGTGACCTTGCAAAGTCCTCTTCAAGCTCTGTCGGTAAAACCACGAGTTTTAAAAACCTACAGTTTTTCCACTTGGTATCTAGCATAAGTCTGGGTTATTTGTCACTAGCCTCACTGAAATAGCTTGAATGAACTATCCGAAAACTGAAATAGCATCATGAATTATGCATGGGGCCAGTCCTCCCTCCGAGCAGTCTGGCTCTGAGGTGTTGCTTGGCTCCTCCCAAAGCCGCTGTCTCAGTCAGCAGTGATTCCTGTGAAGATGAGGAGGTACAGTATGGTCTGGTCAGGTGAATCAGGACAGACTGCATCACACCTGATAGCTGGAGGTGTATCACAACAGAATGAATAGTTGATAACCTACTTTCAAGGCATCTCTGGTTTCACTGCTCAGCCATCTTTGCCCCATGTGACTGCCTGGTTATACTGTATAGAGGCTGATTTCTTTTCTTCTTCCAGACGGCCTCTGGAGAATGTTAGAGAAAGCTGTCATGGTAGTCTCCCAACAGTGTATGCTCAGTGGCTGACAAAAGGTTTTTGTGTTTCCCATTTTGGTGATTCAATGCAAAGGGCCTCTGAAGATTAATAATAATGTCATTAATCATGTATACTGATTGATTGGTCAGCCTGTTGCCAGTGCTGATACTGTATTTGCTGACACCGACCAGTTTGGTGTCATGGTGCTGTTACATTAGGAGCTGCTCTTGTGGTGGGGTCTAGGAAACACAAAAGGAGTGTTCAAAAAGGCTAAAACTGAAAGACACAAGCAAGACCAATAGTAATTTTAAAAAAGTTAACTGGATTAAAAAAAAAAATCAAAGCAACAAAGCTGATAAATTTATTCCACAACTCTGTGGTGGCTAGGTGAGAGACACACGAATGGTTTCTAGGTTGTCACAACAAAAAGTAGTGGCTGTTGAAAGAAGATGAAACTGCACATGACTGACTTGAACCACCAGGGGGCATTTGATCATTAAAGCATGAGGAATGGAAACACAACAGATGAGATGCAGGCCTGCTGGCACTTCTTCCTCTTTGCCTGCCCTTTGATTATAATAAGCCACTGAAGTGTTGTGTCTGCACATTAAAATGTTACATCATACTTCAGCTGAAATGATCATGTATATACAAAAATGTAGCACAGTAATGAATGTGTTTTAATTCTGCTGGGCAATGCAAGAAATGTCCCTGGTGCCCGAGGTGCAGAGTCTTGGGGGGACCCCTGTCTGGGGTTAGTGGGATGACACTAAGGGAGTTTTTCCTCCCCACTGTCACCAAGTGCTTGCTCAAGGGGGATTTGTTGGGTTTTCCCTCTGTAATAATATTGATAACAGTAAGGTCTAGACCTTACTTTGTAAAGTGTCCTGAGATGACTTTTGTTGTGATTTGGCGCTATACAAATAAAATTTGATTTGATTTGATGACACGAGGCTCCGAGGCATGACAAAGGCTGAGATTGTTGTGTGCACCCAAAGAGCCATTCAGCTTCAAAAACAGGCTCCTTTTGCTTTTTTCATCTGTCTTTCTATTTGACCTACAGAGAATCCTGCACTTATTTCATTTATCTTAAAATTTCTTCCATTAATTCTTTCACATGGCTTCAGCCAGGAGGCATTTCAAGAATCTAGGACGACGGGCACGAGTAAAATATACAGAAGATGTAATGAGTGGCTCTGAGGCAACGGCTGAATTATGATTTTCTTTTTTTTCTTTTGAAAGAATAATCATTAGCACATTCTGGAAAAGATTTTTTTTAAAGAAAAGGACAGAGGGGATGACAGAAATTAGTCTCTCTCTGATTCTTTACTTAATGTTGTATTGTTACTTTTCATAACAAAAGCATTACTTGATGCTGATGACACCTAATGCTGGTCAGGAGGACAGATCCTGTGGATCCTCATGTCCTTCTCCAGGGGTAGGCTGAGTGATCGAATCAGCCACTTGAGCTCAAACTACATCCACTGTAGAAAATGCAGCACACAGTCAGTTCAAACCAGGAACATGAACAGATGAGTATGCTGTGACTTCTTTGCAGGAGACGAGCAAACAGGTGAGTGAAAAAACAACAACAGAGACTCCTCAGAAAAACAGGCAAGCAGGAAACAAAGAGGACAGGATGAATGCCAACCTTTTCGGTGAGCACACACAAAACACAAATTATGGCTGAGCTCAGACAATAACACTAAATACAACCTGATCGGGAAAACTTTCCAAAATCTGAGTAACAGACTGTCCACAAAAAATATGGCCACAACGCATCAATCCAAGCACAGTTCAAAAGTCAAAACAATCAAAGACCGAGCAAAGTGAGCAGCTTACGGAACGGATGAAGGCTGAGGCAGAGACAGGAGTCAGAGAGTCAGGTCAGTCAGAGACGAGAAGTCTCTAAAATAAAAACCTCTAAACAGGAAGCTGGGAACAAAACACTTATGAAACCAACTTGTTCTGATGTAACATTTTATTCTAAATGAACTCATGACCAGATATGTTGACTTTCAAAGGCTAAATTTACTGAACATTCTGGGAATATGTTAATGCCCATGCCTCCCTATAACTGCAAACTACAATTCATAATTAGGGCTGAAACACAGAAGAATCACCTGTTCGCTCATCAGCCTGCTCTTCTTTTCTTGCTTGATGCTGGTTCCTACATATAAAATAATTCATTACTTGTGACATTTTCACTGGAGTTCTAGACTGAAGTTCAGATCACGATATATCCACCCATTTTACGTTTACTCCTGCTAGCAATGTGACTGCCAACCTGTAGATACCAGAGGACAGGATTAGCCTGCTAGCTGACATTAGATAACATTAACCAGCATGAGCTGACATTACCCACAGTGTGAAGTCTGGTGGCTTTAGGTTAAGTTTTCATTTTAAATCAGTGTGGCTACTGGCTAATTAAGTTAACTATCTAGCCTCTCACTGCTAGATGGCGAAAAACTGATGTGTCTTCTCTTTTTTGGTGGCAAATCTACAATGAACAAGATGTGGCATGGACACAGTTGTGTGCTGTGGAGTGCAGGCAATAAAGAAAAGACACAAGTCATCTGAAAGACGCAATTTTTGTCTATGCCCTTGATTTAAATGTTACCCTATCTCATAATTTGACTGAACTATCAGACTTTACAACCCGTTAGCACTTAAATCCATTACATGTAATTGAGGCCATTTGTTTCCTCTGTCCATTGAGAAAAGTTTGTGCCTAAATGGAGATGAATAGCTCAGGTGTTACATCCTGACAGTTTTGGCAGAACACACCTGGAAGAGCACAGCTGAATACTAAAAAAAAGATCTGGAATTTACAAATGGTACAATACATCCCTGCTACATATAATCAGGCTTGACACTGCCCATTTTTCATCTGAATGATAATTGCAGTGTTTTAAAGTGAGCCATTGTGCTGAGTGTGTAAGCATTGTCTTAAATCACTCGAGTACAGGGCTTTTGTGACTTGGGAGCAGCATTGCAGGTGTATCTCATGCCACCCAGATGTGGCAGATTAACGAATAAATCCACAAACAAAAGATGTCTGCTCGGCTTCAACGCAAATAATGAGTTCACTTGGTCACAGAGGTAAACAATTACAAAAGCACTGAGGCTTAGGCACAGTGTAAAATGTCAGACTGAGACTGTGAAACGGTTTGAAGCAAAAGGAAACTATAGAACGATTTATACTAGAAGCAGGATCGGGATGATAATTGTGAATAAGAGCACATCAGCTTCCATGACAGACGTTTACCACAAAGAATGAGAGAAATGTGAAGTGTGTCATTTCTCTTCACATCCCCTGAGGCATTCTGGGAGGAAATTCTTTGGCTTCACAGCTGAAAACATTTCACTAAACTTGTTTGTTCATTAAATGCCAAATTAATGCAAGAAAATGCCTCTCGGGGTTTTGTCTTTAATATGTAAAGCGTGAATGACTTGACACGTTTTGAAAAGCTGCTTCTATGTCTGCTCTCTTCCACGTCCATTTTGCTGCTCAGTAGATTTATCAGGTTTCCCCTCAGAGCATCAGCAGAAAGCAGAGCGCCTTAATCATGTTTCCCAAGTTAGGGCTGCCATCAAAGGGAGGCAGTGCTGTGTTATGTCGAGAAGATGTTATAGAAGCTGAAGCTTTAGATCAGAGCCCACTCACATTATGTCTCCACCTTCACAGCAAATATTAACAAGATAGCCTCAATTGTGAAAACACACTCATGTTTATTGTCATGGGTGCTTGAAGTAATGAAGTACATTTACACAAGTACTGTAATTAAATAAAATTTTGAATTATTTGTACTTGACATGAGTGCTTCAGTTTGAGTGCAACTTCAGATGCACTGCATTTCCAGGTAAAGTGGTTTTTACTGTATTACATTTATCTGACAGCTAACCAGTAAATAAACGGTGGCCCTGAAGGTGCAACGCCCTCAAGTTAAAAAAGCACAAATAAATAGACCAAATGTAAGCAAACAATTTGACAACACAAATGCAATAAAATGAAACATGTTGCAAATGCAGAAAACAAAGGAAAACTTAGAAAATATGTTGCAAAAAAGCCCAAAATACAGAAACCTGCTGCCATAACAAAAATACAACCAAACAGAAACATGCAGAAGAAATACAGTATGACAATGAGTTGTGACTGTCAGTGATCTAACGATGCATGTTTAGCATCATACATGCTTCAGATATTATTACTGACATCAGCAACACATCTAGCGGTAACTTCACTTGTTTTCCATTGGTAAGTATTGTAAATAAGTAACTGGTTACTTTACAGATGAAGATTTTATTTGTTGTAAACTTACTGTATGTTGCATATAGCAAAGTCAAATTAACTGGCAATAAAAAAAATGCTTCTTACATGTTAATACATTTGTACCAATAACCAGAAGAAGTATCGCTGCTTTTGCATGTCAGGACTTTTCTTTCTGATCATCAGTACATTTTGATGAAGCTTTTTAAGTGTCATTTTGATTACAGGACATGCTACTTTTGCTTTAGTTTAGAGTACTTCCTTGTAACAGTAACTTTGATCAGACTAATGTAATGTGCAGTTAATCTCATCGACGGCCCCAGACAGCGTGAGATAATTCTAAGGAAGCAACTGTGCTAATTTAAAACTTGATGAAGCAGAAGTGACACTCATGTCTGGCTTGTATAATGTGTCCTTGTCAGATGGTGGGAGAGACAACATTTGGGCTGCAAATGGAAGATGTGTGAGGAAGGATAAGAGAGCTAGTGATGTGAGAGGGTGAAACTAGCCATGAAGCTTTGGATGTGAACAACTGTCTCCCCCTTTACTTAAATAATACACATACACTCTCTCCTCTCTAACCTCATGATACAGTTTTATGAAACAAACTACAAAGGCAACATCATTGTTGTACATCTAGCTCTCGGCAGGTACTTTGCATGGCTCCAGTGTACATGCCACATTGCACAGAGAAAAAGAATATCCATCCCCACTGAATA